TCCTCCCCCTCACAGAGCGGCGGCCGCCATGGCGAACCACCTCCGCTTCCTGGGCCGCACCGTCATGGTCCAGAACGGGAATGTGGAAGCAGCCTACGGCGCTCTCAACAGGTGGGGGGGGCCCCGGTGGCCTGGGGGGGGGTGCCTCTTGTCCCGGGGGGGTGGAACCCCGCAGCTCGGCCGAGAGCCGGTTACCGGACAAGGACCCAGGCGGGGTGGGGAGGGTCCTGTTAATTAAACTGGGTATAATTAGTTACGGGCAGGGGTTGTCCTTCTCCTCCGGTCCCTCCCTGGTAACCACAGGGGGTTTGCCTCCCATTTTACCCCCGTGAATTGGGGTCGGAACGTGCGGTTTTGGAGTTTTTTTTCTCTCCGCTCAAGGCCTCAGAAGCTTTTCCCACTGGTGCTCCACCCTGCCACTAATTTAATGGAATTAAACGGAATTCTCCGGTAAATTGGCGGAAAAGTTGGCAGGAATGTGGGCAGCAGCGTCACAGGGGGTTTGGAGGGTTGGTGGTCGGTGACAGCGCCTCGCAAGGGAAGAGGAGAAGGAGGAGGAAGCTGCACCATCACCTGCCATAGCTGTCACCTGCCATGCCCACCTTCATTCATCATAGCTTAACAAAGCTCCTAGGGTGCTTGTTCCTCTCCTTGTTATCCTAGGCCTGTCACCGGGAGGAAAACAAGCCGGGGTGGCTGAGGGACCTGGGGGGAACATGGTGTCCCTGTGGCACTGCTGCAGCTGGGCCTGGCATGTACTGAGTTGTGTCTGGTCTTAGCTGGGGGTGGGGGGTGTGTGTGTTTTGCCCCTCCCCCATCCTCACACATCCCAGCACCTTTTCTGCCTCTTTTTGGGATTAAAAAACCCCCAAAATCATCAGAAACGCTTCAGCGCTGGGGGGTGCAGTTGGAATCGAGGCAGGGGAGTTCAAAATCCTGAAGTGAGACCCAATTTTAACCAAATCCCCTGGGTTTCGATTGGCTGCCAGCTTGTTTACAGAAAGGGTGGGCTGCCCTGTGTGTCTCGGGGTGGGGGGGGGAGCATCTCATCTCACCCTGTCTCCCCCCTCCCCAGGATCCTCTCGCAGGATGGGCTGGTGGAGACGGTGCGGCGGCGGCGGTACTATGAGAAGCCGTGCCGCCGGCGGCAGCGCCTGGCCTACGAGGCGTGCCAGCGGGTCTACAATGCGGAGATGGGGCGGAAGATCAGCTTCTTGATGCGAGGCAGCCGGCAGGACCCCTGGCTGGGCTGCTAGGGGTTGGGAGGAGCCGCCCCCCCAATAAAGGCCTTTGCCCTTAACGGAGTTTTAATTTAGCTTTCATTAATTACGGCGGATGAGGCAGGCCGTGGCCTCGCTGCCCGCGGAGACGTGGCGGCAGTTCGCGCGCTGGCTGCGAGCGCGGGAAAAAGGCGGGGGGGGCGGGGCGGGGCGGGGCTGGTAGTGTCTCTAGTCATGTGATGTGGGCGGTGCTGAGAGAGCCCGGTATTGCACGTCCCGCCCCCGCCTCGGACGCCAGGCCTGCTCTTTCCCGTCGCCCCCCGCGCGAGTGGGCGCGCAGGCGCCGCGCGGCCGTTTCCGCTTCCGCCCCGACGTGC